TGACAGATGAGTTTAAAGGGTATTCTTAACTTTACATAACAGGAAAGAATAGATTGCAAGATTGCTGACAACTCACTATGCCCTCTGGTGAAAATTGCACTTGGTACAAATGCTTAATTAATCCTTCAGGTCTTGTTCAGGCAGCATTTTACCACGAAACTGGCTCCACAGACTAGGGAGAGAATTGAGAAGTAATTGAGTATGACTGATTTTCTCTCACATGATGGAGCACGTCAGGATGTAGCTGGTTTGGAGGCTAAATGCTGCTGACTTTACATTCCTGGCACAGGTTTTTCAAGCTGCCCATCATTAAACTGCTCATTGTTTTGACAATAAAACAAACAAGCATGTGAACTTAACAACAATAATTAATATTAATTGCACATTAAGGTAACATTCTGTAGTGCAGCATGATTTTGCATCTAGTTTTCAAAGAAATGCTTTGTCTTTAATCTCTCTGAAAGGCACTTCTTCATGTCCTGGTCAGTCCAGCCACTTTCACTGCTTTCAAGTCACAAGAACACATGGACTCTGTTACAGAGGCCCTTGGATGGACACAAAAGGAAAAGTCTCAAGTCCAGCTGGTCTTTTTGAGAAAAAAAATAAGGCCAAAAACACCTTGCTTTGCATTTCTCAATTTCTCACTCACGCCATTGAAATCTGCACTTGGCTTAAAGGGACTTTTCACCACCTTTAATTTGCTCGCCATTCCCATTCAAATGGAGTGCACACCTTGGGATGATGAGGGAACTGGGAGCATCTGAGGAGACGTCCGCTGTAGTAATTGCACTATGGTCAAAAAAAGGTCATTTGAGGTTCCTGGCTACTGTCTGTCTTGCTCCTCTTGGTGCTCAAACTTCCACCCCTGTTTTTTGTCTCCTGGGTTGCACCGGCTCATCTGAATGTCTGTGTGGCCATCTGCTGTGTAGTAGGCTGTCACACACATGTCTGAGTGAGGGTGGTAGATGGTCCCATCCTGAAAGGATTGAGAGGTAGAGGAGGGGTAGGATGAGAATGTGTGCAAGATCTAGAATAATGTATGTGCATGTGGTCACTTGGGCTTGAGTGAGAGAGAGCGTGTTTGTGTATGTAAACGTGTGCACCCTTTACATTTCTGAACTCCCAGATCATACTGGGTGGCTTGAACTCCCCATCACGAGGGCACTGTGTCATCCCGACTGAGGTCTGTCCCTCGAGCACTTCGGCACACAGCTCTGTCACCGAGTTGTAACGGATCTCCTTCTGAGATGTGTATTCAAAGTACTGGAACAGAGGAGAGACCTGGTTAAAAGGCATTTTCTCTGTATATATGATTAAAATAGGTTTCTTTACCATTAGTTTGTATTTAGAAACATCTTTGGAAAGCATCCCAACTGGAAAAGCAGTAGTGACTAAGGGAATAAGACACTGTCTTACATCCTTTCCAACTGTTTCAGGACATCCCTCCTTCTGTCTTAATCTCACTGTATTTAGAAAGCTTTTTAACAGAGTAAGTTGGCATGTTTTTTCTACCAGGATTACAGGATGGTTTTCTCTTCCTTGACTGTGGGATCAGGTCCTGGCTAAGCCACCATTTGGCATGTCAACATATGTATCAGGGCATCTCATCAGCAAAGGCCAGGCTTTGGCCCTCTCAATCAAGCAGACGTGGATACAAACCCAACTCTCCCTACCCCGGTGTCATTTCAACACCCTGCAACACTCCCTTGGTTCCCTGCTAAACGGAGGGTCAGGTAATCAATCTCATACATCTTTCAGGTGCATCAGGGCCAGTAATGGTTTCTAATAAAAGTCTCGCACGAGGCCCGAGTCTGGCGTCAAACTTATTTATCGAGTCTGTGCCACTCGTGCTGCCTGTGAGGTTCATGTATCTTTTAAATGGGATGTGGTTCTTATGTGGACCAGTGAAGAAGGAGCAAGCGGGATGTGGTGAAGAGCCCTCGGGTTTTTGTTTCAGCAGGGACCCATTTAAAAATCGATTTTCAGTCACACATGGTGCTTTTTGTGACTGGGGACACCTGATGCGGTGCATGAGTGGGGTAATCAGAGATCTACTGTCTGACTGCAACATTAAATATACATCCTCACAGACAAATAATCTGCTGTGTGCTAAACCATCCATCACTGAAGCTGGTAAGGTGTTCAGTTTTAAAGCACCTTTGATTCCTCTGCATGATATTGTTGGGTACACATGGATGTAATAACAAACCTAGTTTTTCCCCTTCATTATATTCAAGTCATGCTGGTGTGATTCAACTGTTTGGGAGCTGGTTTTAGGGGTTGGCAGAAAGCATTGACATTTAGAGATATACGCATCTCCCACTGCTCTAAAAGAAGATTCTGTCAAGAGAGATTGTTTACTCTGTCTTTGTCCATCACTCTCAAAGTGTTAAAAGGCTTAACATACCTGGTTGCCTCCCTGGCCATGGCAGCCAAACACAGAAACATGGCTACCTGTGGGATTGTGATCTGGAGCGTTGTAGTCCAGACACATTGACTGTATCCCTGAGTTACGCACCTGGCAGGAAGAGAACAAGGAACATTAATAATTTAATTAATGCTATAGAGTACTGATTGCTAACTCTAACCCCTGAAACTGTTAGATTTACTCTTCTGATTAAATGATAGTTTCCAAAATATCACCTTGAAACATTTGCCTGCTATTTGCTTTCCCCCAAAATATCAACACACAGCTACAGTATTAAGGAACCAAAGTGGAATCATTTCTTACTTTTTCATGCTTTCACATCAAAAAGCCAATATTTCTAACATTAGAAATGTCATATTTTCAGACTGTGTCATCATGTGTTGCTACTGTAGGTGTGCAAACAAATTTTACACAGTAATACCATTTCAGATTTTTTGGACAATTCAGCCCGAAACACGAATGCAGCCCTTTGATGTAACCGGATAAAAACGTGGAATTCATATATGGATAGCAGACACTCACAGCCCCATGCCAGCCCTTCCTGTCCTCAGGTATATGCAGGTCAGGGTAGATATTCTTCAGGTACCAGTCAAAACTGTTGCACTTCAACCTCTCTCTCAGTAGCAACCGGTCTGAGACATCCCCATACTTCTCCTGCAAAGAGAGCAGGAAATGTATTAGTCATCTTTCAGGAGTTGTGAGCAACAAATTCACATTGAGGATGTCACTTCATCTCCACAGTTTGACTTAGTTAATTATTTGTTGTTCATTTGCATGTTACAGGTGAACGCATACTGGAAAAGAAAACAGTAAAACCTTAAAAGCAAACATTCATATCCTTAATATGACTGCTGAATTCCACGTGACCAGGATCTATGGTATTGACAGTCTAAGAATCTAACCTATACACACTTTGTCATCTTTGTTTGCTGAGGTGGGAAGGTCCTCTGTAAGCAAGTCCAGTGTTCACACACACCTTACATTTGGCACTGCCTACAACTGTAATGCAAATACAGAATCTCACAGGTACACCGAATTCAGTCCCAAACATAGTGATTCAGCCAACGTATCTAGATCAGGCTACACAGAAAATGTTGCTGGGATAAATAATAGAGGAATAAACAACATTTAGCATTTTTTTCATCCTTAGTGAAAAGGATGTGTGTTAGCTGTGTTAACTTGGAGCCTGATGATCACAATAAATCTGGTTGTCCATTTATCTGAACATGGTAAAATGAATGAATGGCAAATCAATTTAAGTAATGAAACAGAATTCCCGTACTACTCCAAACCGTTATTGTCTATAGCTCTGTGCTCAGTTCACATGATTTATGATAACTGCCCAACAGACTTGGAATTGCTGATCTGCTCTGCCAGTGTTGGTTTCAATCTCCCCCTGACCAGGGAATTTATTGTTTGATAAAAGATCCCTCACCTTAATAATGTACTTTTTTCAGACATGTGAAACTGAGATACATGAATTTTTGATGGCAGCCAGTACTCAGAACTAGAGAGGCATGGCACACACACACACACACACACACACACATCCCTGACCTCGTCAGACAGACAGCATTTCATCACACGTTGGACACCTAGGCAGGTGAATCGCATCAAATGAAACATCTGAATCCATCACCAAAGCTAAGCCACTCTCTGTACCACATTTACATGGTACTGCTACGTCAAACATGGCACACTGCAAGACTTCAGTGACTTCAGCTGAGTGAAAAACAAGTGTGTAGCAGGTCACCTAAGACACAGCTCAGATTTATTTGCTCATACGAATCAGGGAGTATTCTAAGGTTGGCATCACACCAACATGTCCAATTAGAAGCCTGGGTTCCTTTCATCTGTAAGTGTCCTACCTTTCTGGCTGGGGGATTCCTGTTGTAGAAGTGTTGTTTATAAGAATCCATCCAAACCTCTGCAGCTCGTACAGTATTCTGGAGGAAGTTGGGCCGAGCGTAAGGAGCTTTTTTAGGGAACACATGGCCTACATGAGAACAGGGGTGGATCTCCAGGCTGCCCCCGCACTGCCACACCTGAGAGGATTTAAAACACAATGAGATCTTTGTAGTTTCCGGTAACCTCATAATATTCCTGGTTCTTTTTCAAATTTCAGTGGAATAAATATTCCATATATTTGTGGTAGAATAATTCCCCAAAGCATGTTTACTCATTAGAATAAATAATAGTTAAATAATGGACAAAAGGTATAAACTGTTTTTGATATTGTGGATGTGTTGTTGATCTTTCCCTTTGTGCTCTTCCCCTGATGCACACACATTATGATGAAGCTGCATGCTTATGTTTTCCATGAACCTGCTACAGTACATTATCCATTGTGCACTACATGCCTAAGTGATACAGCACAACAACTGG